CCTCGAACTGCCCCCTTAAAAATCAAATTGCCCACCTGTGGGGCGTGGACCCCACATTGGGAACCACTGGTCTAGAGTCTGCTACCTCCTCAGCTCTGAGGGAGAAAGTACAGTGAACTCCATGGAAATGCTGCTTAAGGCGGGCACTTGCCTGCAGATGACAACAGATTACTAGTAAGCAAATCCAAGTTGATTTGTTTCTTTTTTTTTTAAATATATTTTATTGATTTTTTTACAGAGAGGAAGGGAGAGAGATAGTCAGAAACATCAATGAGAGAGAAACATCGATCAGCTGCCTCCTGCACATCTCCCACTGGGGATGTGCCCGCAACCCAGGCACATGCCCTTGACCGGAATCGAACCCGGAACCCTTCAGTCCGCAAGCTGACGCTCTATCCACTGAGCCAAACCAGCTTCGGCTGATTTGTTTCTTATAGAGAGTTTGAAAGCCACTAGATGTTGCTGTTGTCAGCTTAGTAGCTCTGTGGTGCCGGGGCTGACATCTCTTGAATCTCTCCAACTTAACCTCCAGGTGGCCACTGCTGCTTCAGCCACCACATCACATTTGAGGTGAGAAGAAAGGATTTTCCAGGGCTGTAAAGAACTGAGAGAAGGGACAGACTTCTGCTGATGTTCCAAGGGCCAGAACTGGAGAAAGTCCAGCATAGCATTGTTTCCTCTAAATACAGAACATACATATTCCACAAATTTTTTTTTTCTAAAATCTATCTGGGCTCTGGAGTAAGGCCAGTGAGGTTCAGATCCTGGCCCTACCATTTCCTAGCTGCAAAATCTTGGCCACTTACTAATTATTCCAACCCTTTTCCATCTTCTGTAATAACCATGGTAATCTGTACTGATTGTGGGAGGAGCCGTGGCATGAATATAAGATAAAGAGTTTGGGCACTCCACATTTTGGTTCCTTCACTCATTAGCTGTAGGGCCTTGGGCAACTATCTTATCCTGACTGTGCCTGTTTCCTCATGAAGCAGTGGTGATAATAATGGTGCCTAACTTATAGGATGGATGCGACTAGTAAATAAGCTAAGCCTTGGCCAATGTGGTTCAGTTGGTTGGAACATCATCCCATGCACCAAAAGGTTGTGGGTTCAATCCCCGGTCAGGGCGCATGCGTGAGACAACCGATAGATGTCTCTCTCTCTTCCCTTCTCTCTCCCTCTATCTCTTCCTCTCTTCCTCCTTCCTTTCTTCCCTCCCTCCCTTCCTCACCCTCTCTCCAAAAAACAATTTTAAAAATTCAACTCTGCCCAGCCAGTGTAGCTCAGTGGTTGAGCATCAACCTATGAACCAGGAAGCCACAGTTCAATTCCCAGTCAGGGCACATGCCCGGGTTGCAGGCTTGATCCCCAGTGTGGAGTGTGCAGGAGGCAGCCGATCAATGATTCTCTCATCATTGATGTTTCTATCTCTCTCCCCTCTGTTCCTCTCAGAAATCAATAAAAATATATATATTTAAAAATTCAACTCTTAAAAAAAAGCTAAGGGCTCAGAACACTTCCTGGTACTTAGCACTATGGAAATGTTGTCTCATGTTATTATTTAAATTAAAGCTAAGCCCTTGTCTCATAGTACCTGGCACATGGTAAATATTAGTATTAGAGTCTACCCAGCCATTTTGTGAGAGAGTTATCTAATAGAAAAGACAGTCAGTCTAATAGAAAAGAATAATTTATGGCTCTGTTTTGCATGATTTAGATGACATGGGAAGAGAGAGTGGGAGTCGCTCATTGCCCTGTGGTTGCCTGGCTTCGGCAGGAGAGGAACCCAGCCCTGAGGTGTGAGGTTCTTACCCCCATTATCATGTTGCTTCGCTCTGTGTGTCCAGGCCCGCTGCTGGAAGACTGGGACATAATCAGCCCCAAGGATGTCATCGGCTCCGACGTGCTGCTGGCTGAGAAACGGTCATCGCTGACAGCGGCTGCCCTGCCCTTCACTCAGTCCATCCTCTCTCAGGTGGTTTCAGGGACCCCCGGGACTCTCAGGTGGCTGTAGGGCAGGGCCTGCCTGGCTCCCCTGATTCTGAGTGTGCTGGTTGGCACCTGCCCCTAGCCTGCCAGCTGACCAGTGGCCTCCCCCCTCCTTCACAGGTGGGCCGCACCTTGTCTAAGGTCCAGCAGGTGCTGAGTTGGTCATACGGGGAGGATGTCAAGCCTTTCAAGCCACCCCTGAGTGATGCTGAGTTCCACACATACCTGAACCACGAGGGCCAGCTCTCCCGCCCTGAGGAGTTGCGCCTGCGGATCTATCACGGTGGTGTTGAGCCCTCCCTGCGAAAGGTGAGCCCCCTCGACCACTCACTGGATCCATTCCTCCTGCAGTCATGAGTAGCTCATGAGACACATACAGTGGACCACACTGTCATGGGATGGTGTGGTGATGCTCCCGGGCAGCAAGCTCTCCTTCCGGAGGGGCTAGGAGTCAAAGGTGGGAAGGCAAACTTGTCTGAAGGAGGACAGAGGTCCAGGGCAGGGGCGGGGTGGTGACAGATATACCCGGGGATGTGGCAGCTCATCTGTAGATCCTCGGCCTCATCCTTCTTGTCCCTGGCCAGGTGGTGTGGCGGTATCTCCTGAATGTGTACCCAGATGGGCTGACAGGCCGCGAAAGGATGGACTACATGAAACGGAAGAGTCGGGAATATGAGCAGCTTAAGAGCGAGTGGGCACAGCGAGCCAGCCCCGAGGACTTGGAGTTCATCCGCAGCACGGTCCTCAAGGATGTGCTGCGGACCGACCGGGCCCACCCCTACTACGCGGGGCCCGAGGATGGCCCACACCTGCGCGCACTGCACGACCTGCTCACCACGTACGCCGTCACCCACCCACAGGTGTCCTACTGCCAGGGCATGAGCGATCTCGCCTCACCCATCCTTGCCGTCATGGACCATGAAGGTCATGCCTTCGTCTGCTTTTGTGGCATCATGAAGCGCCTGGCTGGGAACTTCCACCCTGATGGCCGCGCCATGGCCACCAAGTTCGCGCACCTCAAGTTGCTGCTGCGACACGCCGACCCCGACTTCTACCAGTACTTGCAGGAAGCTGGTGCTGATGATCTCTTCTTCTGCTACCGCTGGCTGCTGCTTGAGCTCAAGCGCGAGTTCGCCTTTGACGATGCCCTCCGCATGCTCGAGGTCACCTGGAGCTCGCTGCCTCCCGATCCCCCTGAACACGAGGTAGAGCTCATCGGACCCCCCAGCCAAGTGGCAGACACTGGCTTCAGCAGCCACAGGGGTCGGCCTGTGCGGCAGAGGCACATGTTGAGGCCTGCCGGTGGGGGAGGTGGTGCTTTTGAAGATGCGGTTGACCACTTGGCCATGACCAGTCAGGGGCCTAGTGGCGGGGGAAGGGATAACACCAGCCCCAGGAGGGACCCTCGGGTCCAGCTGCCCCACCCCGTTGCCCTCATTAGCTCCAAGTCCCTCTCGGAGCCCTTGCTGAACTCCTCAGACCCACTACTATCCTCCTCTTCCCACCCCGATTCACCATCCTCCTCATCTCCGCCATCCTCCCAGGAGGCCTCTCCTGCTGGTGAGGTGGCTGCAGGATCCCCCCTGATACCTGAGGTGGGCTCCCCACAAGACCCTGGGAAGTCTCTGCCACCCCCACACCCATTGGGCCTGCCCCCACCCCAGGAGTTCGGCCAGGGGAACCCATTCATGCTCTTCCTCTGTCTCGCCATACTGCTGGAGCACCGTGACCACATCATGCGCAACGGGCTGGATTACAATGAGCTGGCCATGCACTTCGACCGCCTCGTGCGAAAACACCACCTGGGGCGCGTCCTACGCCGGGCCAAGGCTCTCTTTGCTGATTACCTGCAGTCTGAGGTGTGGGACTCAGAGGAGGGAGCAGAGGCCACAGCCCCGTTGTAATCAGGCTCCCTCCAGCCCACCATCAGCCCCACCAGGTCTCCATTATTTGCCACGAGGGCCTCCACATGAGGCCCTACCTCCCTGCCTGCTGGCCCTAGACCTGTTGGGGTGCAGGACCCTCTCCCCACAGGTCTGGGAATATGGGGCTCTGCTTCAGCACTGTCCCATTGAGGCTACAGCCTCTTTTCTGTTGTTGCTTTGTTTTTAACAACTGTACTTTGCACACATGAAGGTCACTGTGGTCTGTTGATTTCTCTGCCCTCTTCCTGGTTTTTGTTAGACATGGAGTCTCCAGGGGCTCTTTACCTGAGGGAGCCGAAATGCTTCACTGGGTGGAGGGTGGGTCATGCAGTGCCTTCTTCCCTGGTGGTCGGAGAGTGGATGCTGAGAATTGGGTCTAAAAGATGAGCCCAGATTGAGGACAGCTGGAGGAAGCCTTGAGGCTGCTGTGTGGTACATCTGTCTGCCTGTAAGGCTCTGGATTATAGCTGCGAATATATGTTTTCAGGACAGGCCCCTGGGTGAAGAATGAGAGAGTTCCTGACTCGAAAAGGGCAAGATTCATCACAAAGGCTGGAAAGTATCGGCTACTTAGAAACATTGGGCAGCCCCCTCTAGCCTTCTACCTGTCACCAACTCTAGGATCCAGACCCTTCCTTGGGAGTCCTAGGCAGGGGTCTAAGGCTCCTATTCTTATCACTTGCTTTGGGGCTAGCTTGAGGGACTGTGGCCTTGCCATGCCTAGGACTCTAAGCCCTAAACTGGGTTTCCAGCTTATGGGTACCTGTCTTAACTGTTTCACCAACAGACACCTTTTATTTGTCTTCTCCCACCCACTACTGTGGACAAACAAATCAAGCACTGTTACATCCCAATATTAGAAGGGAAGCTGACCATTCCTCAGATAAGGGCTTAGTCACTGGAAGAGCAGGACAAGACCATTCTCTATCTGGGGTGCTTCAAGACTGTGGGTCTAACAAGTACACATAAGGGTCTCAGGCAACCCCACACACTGAGGACCATCCAAGACACTGGAGTATCTGGCTAACCCTAGTACAACATGGGAAGGAACTACACAGGATGTGAATACCAGGAGATAGGGATCATTGGGGGCTATATTGGAAGCTGGCTACCACACTAGGTGACATAATATCCAAAACAGAAGTACTGGGACAGACGAATAATTTTAAATAAGTATAATAGATAATATAAGAAAGATAACACAAGAACAAGAGATACAAAAAGACCCCCAAAATACTATGAGAATGATAGTAGAAAAAAAAGAACAGAAAAACACTGTAAATAGAAAATATGAAATGAGATGTCAGAAGTTTTAAATAATAAGTACAAAAACAGAACACAAGAGACCCCTCATTGGATTTTTTAAAAAGGTCCAGCAGTGTACACACATATAAAAAGATTTAGAAATGTTGGAAACGAAAGGATGAAGAAAGGCTATAGGAAGGGATTCATACTTGGACTAAGTGATGGGCCCCTGAAAATCAAGAAGAGAACTATGGAAATATGGGAAATGTTCTGATAGGAATATAGATATGAATAAGCAATTTACACTAGGAAACCCAAAATCATTCTCTTTTTTGTTGTTAATCTTCACCTGAAGATATTTTTCCATTTATTTTTAGAGAGAGTGGAAGGAAGGGGGAGAGACAGAAAAACATCAATGTGAGAGAGACACATTGATTGGCTGTCTCCTGCAGACACCCCACCAGAGCCAAGGATGGAGCCTGCAACTGAGATACATGCCCTTGACCGGAATCAAACCCAGGGCCCTTCAGTCCTTGGGCCAACACTCTATCCACTGAGCCAAACCAGCTAGGGCTCAAAATCATTATCAATCACTTTAAAATACAAGTTAAAAAAACTAATGAGAAGAGCACCTTTCTATTTACTAGATGGGATGCTGCCCAATTCATTAATTGTTCAATAAAGCCAATTAGATTTTTAAGTTAAAAACTAATGAACTATGACTGTACTGGTTAGACTAGAAAATTTTAGTAAGCTGGATAATGCTAAGTGTTGATGGAGACAGAGGAATGTGGGGCCCTTCATACATTGCTCCACCTATTCCAGTTCACAATCTGACACTGCTTACAGAAATTATGTACATCCGTATGGCCCAGCTATTTTCTGAGTATACATCCTAAAGAAATTTTCACACTGGCCCAAAGGGAGCATTTACAAGGCATAATTTATTGAAATGGGGTATTGGAGGCAGTCCAGTGAACCTCATTGGGAGCACCTAGGGGTAAAATGATGCAGTGGATGTACACATTGGGGTTTATTGGAACCATTAGAAACAACAGATAGATTATCTGCACCCATAACAACACAGATGAATCTTAACATAATGCTTGTTGGGTGTGTGTGTGGGGGGGGCACACAGAATGACACTACCATTTACTTTAATTAAAAGAATAGGTAAAAACGTAGATTTTATATGTAATCACGCAAAAAGATACACATTAAACCCAATAGAATGGTAAACTGGGAAGAAGAGAAAGGTTGTTGGGTGCAGGAATAAAAGAGAATTTAGGGGTTTTGCATGGAACAACAATGAGGATGTGTCATGAATTGTGGAATATGATCAGAGATCAGACATTTTGAAAGGCAAATAAGTACCTCTTTTTTTTTTTTCTTTTGCATGGGGGTCAGATTCTCAGAGGGCTATCTAATACCAGCATGAATGTGGACAGTGTGAAAACTGTTCACATAAAACCTGGGCATAGGAGATCTGAATATGGCAAAAGTCAGACAAGTTCATTTTGTAGATGTATATGATCCTGTACTCTGAAAATTAACAAATCTAGACTGTGTTTGAGGGGCTGACCCTTAGAAAGTAAATTTCCATTCTATGGATGAGAAATTTAGTCTTTGAGGGAAACTAACCCATTTCTTCTTGAATGGGGACAGCAGCAATCGAGTCTGTCAAAGGTAGTTCAGACACTTGATGGCTCCACAAGACCAAACTGTGGGTAATGGGACACACTTTGCTTTGCATAAGTCCACTGTGTATTGTCAAAGTCCTTTCTGTGGATTAAGGGCTCAGCAACCCTGAGTGACAGCAAAAATTGTTGTGTGGACTGGGATTTACTTACTCTGGAGATTGGAGCATCCTGTTTTTTTTAAAAAGGCCCCTCAGGCAGTCAATTGGGGGCGGGGGGAGTCAAGGCTTCAGGAGGCTGTCAGATAAAGATGAGGGCTGAAGTCAGAAATGAGAATGCGCAGCCGATGTGGCTCAATGATTGAGCGTCGACCTGTGAACCAGGAGGCTGCAGTTCGATTGTCAGGGCACACACCCAGGTTGCAGGCTGGATCCCCAGTGTGGGACGTGCAGAAGGCAGTAGATCAATGATTCTCATCACTGATGTTTCTATCTCTCTCCCTCTCCCTCCCTGAAATCAATAAAAATGTATTTTTTAAAAAAAGAAATGAGAAGGAATGATGCCAGGTAAGAGGGTCCCGTGACAGGCATGTAGATGTTGGGCACAGAGAAGAAAACCTAGAGGTCAGGATCAGACACAGAAAATAAATGTTCGGTTTGATGTGAAGGCTGATGACATCAGAGAAACTGGAGGATTATCATCAGGCCCTGGAGGGATCATAAGGTTAGAGAACTAGCAAGTGAATGGAGGTTATGCTAGTAGCGGCTGCCAGGTACGTCGTCAGGGACTTAGAAAAAGACTTATTCGATGGTGAGAAAATCGTGGGAACCAATGGGGAAATGACGTCAAGGAAGAAAGGGCAGGGAAGGAAAGGGATGTGAAAGCCAAAAGGTTCGTGCGCAGAAGAGACGAAAACGGCTGGGGCCAATGGCGGGATACTTACGTCATAGTGCCCCGACCACACAAGTCTCCGCCTCCGTTCCCGGAAGCATGCAGAGAACTTGGCTTCCTACGCCCGGCAGACCACTCCTCCCATCGCCCTCGCCGGCCTCAGCCAATGAGGGCGTGCGGGGCGACGTTCAGTGACGTACACGCTACGTACGCTTTATTAAGCGTCTTCCCGCGCGATCTCCTCCTCAGTCGCTCTGCTCCTTGGCGGTAACTGTCCTTTCGGCCCTTTTACTGAACTTCCAGGTAAGTGGTGTCTGACTTATCGGAGCGGCCTCTCCTCGCCTCGCTGTTGTGCGCCGCGCCGGCCTAGAGCAAGGTGTGCAGGTGGGCAGAGGAGCGGCTTCGGACACGTAGGCTCGGGCTTCTTCGAGGCGGGCGGGTCCCGTGCTCCGAGGTTAAATTTTTGGTTTGGTGGGCTGCCGGCGCGCCGGGTCCTGGCACGGGGAGTGCCCGGAGGGGCTAGCGGAGTGACTTGGACCGGGGTTGGTCTCGGTAGTGACCACGCGGCGGCCGAGAACTGCGGGGGAGGGGGGGGGGCTTTTTCCCACGTGACCGCCGCCATCTTGTTCTGTGGGCGCACAGTGAACGCATGGACGTTCTGGGCCTGCGCTGTGCCACAAAATGACGGGCGTGGCGGCTGGGATGTTGTGGGCATGCGCGAAGGCGGCCCCCAAATGGCTGCGCCGCGGATTTCCGTCTTTTCGGGTTGCCTTCGTGGTTTCTCCTTGGTGACACCTTATTTTGCTGTTCGTGTCCGTTTTCTGTTCTCTCCATTTTTTTCTCTTCGTGCTTTGACCTCCCACCTTTCTCCCACTTGCACCCCACGATCTTCCGTGTTCTCCCCACAGGACTCGAATTCATTGCCATGTCCTCTGAAGAAGGGAAGCTCTTCGTTGGAGGGCTCAACTTCAACACCGACGAGCAGGCTCTGGAAGATCACTTCAGCAGCTTTGGGCCAATTTCCGAGGGTGAGCGGTGGGCCAGACCCATGAGGGGGTGGACAGTTACCAGAAGTCTGGGACCCTTGCGTTTCAGCAAACATTGAGAGCAAGGCCAGGGCCCCAGGCCTTCTTGTGCTACTTTTCCTTGCTGGGTTCTTAAGTCTAAGGGGCAGTTCAGGCTTTGGAGAACCGGATAACTTTTAATTGAGGATTGGTCACCTTTTGCTTCCTGTTCTCTTTCCCAGTGGTCGTTGTCAAGGACCGGGAGACTCAGCGATCCCGGGGTTTTGGCTTCATTACCTTCACCAATCCAGAGCATGCTTCAGATGCCATGAGAGCCATGAATGGAGAGGTGAGGCCTTTTACCTGCATTAGGGGTCCTGCCCCCCTCTCTACCACTTCCACCATTCTTTCTGTTTTTCCCTCTGTGTCTGCTAGGGGCAGCGCGGCCACCAAACCCCACAGTGCCCACTCACAGGAGCGTGACTGCCTTCTGTTCTAGGGGGTGGAGGGCAGCGGCAGACAGAGCCGGGCTGCCTGGGAGGCGACGACTGGTCCTGCATGAGGCCGAGAAGCCACCTGTGGATGGTTGACGTGCCCTGGGCTTAGGTAGTAGAGTCTGCAGATCTGCGGGCCTGGCCCGGAGAGGACCTCGTGAGTCTTCTGGGATGGACTCTGAAGCCTCAAACCAAGAGAGGTGTCTATCTAGCCCTAATAGTTGGGCAGCTTAGAGGAGTGGGGAGGAGAACTCACCTGAGTTCAGTCAAGATGTAAGTAGTAGCAGGGGAGCACGGTGGATTCAGGTCATTTTGTGGGATTCTATAGCTCCTGATAAAGGCCATTCTGGTCAAAGGAGCTTGTTGTGAAACATAGCACCCAAAACTTGGTGCTCAGCAGGAGTTTCTGGGCTCTTTTGCCCACCTGCCCTGCCCACTCTTGACACCACTTCCCTGTGTGACCACCAACTTATCCTCTTTATGTTTCCTTGCACCTAGTCTCTGGATGGTCGCCAGATCCGTGTGGACCATGCTGGCAAGTCTGCCCGGGGCAGAGGAGGTGGCTTTGGAGCTCATGGGCGTGGTCGCAGCTACTCTAGAGGTAATGACAATGGTAAATTTGATCATGTGGTGTGGGGAAGAGCCACCCATTAGTGGCCTATGTCTGGGATAATTGCAATTTAAATATTTTTTGTCTACTGTAGGTGGTGGAGACCAGGGCTACGGGAGTGGCAGGTATGACAGTCGGCCTGGAGGATATGGCTATGGATATGGAAGATCCAGAGACTATGGTGGCAGGTGGGTAGTCAAGGGGTTGGGGCGCTCGGGTGGTGCTTGCTTTTCTCTCCTTAAGAGCTGGGCTGCCTGGGTGTGTATACCTATCTTACCTTGGTGTTACTAGAGTTTTACAAACCGTAATGAAACTAAAAACAAATATGAGGCATATTTTGAGTTGTGTGTAATGCGTTGATAAATTACAAGATCACATAATTGCAGTGGATGATAGGTAACATGTATGTTTTGTGCTGTGGTTGTGTCTATTGCATTAATGTTTATGATTCAGTGTGTTGTGTGAATTATATACCATGTAATTGTGACTTCTATATAATGTTCACATGCTTAACATATTAGCCTGTTTTGCACATTAACTATTATAATATGTGCTGGAATATGTAAATAAGGTTTTCTATATTCTCGGGGTGTCTGATACATTTCCTGTAACACTGTGTTTTTTCCCAGAAGCCAGGGTGGTTATGACCGCTACTCAGGAGGAAATTACAGAGACAATTATGACAACTGAGATGAGGCATACCACACCTAATGTAGGTGAGACTTGTATGGGAAAACCTGTCTCCCCTGTAATCTGCTGGCCATGGAGATGAGGGGGTGTCCTTGTTGTGAAGTCCTTGTATCTTTTATCAACCCCAGAAGGTAAGCATGTCAGCCTCTTTCTTCCTGACATCACAGCTCTTCCCCTTCTTACTGTTCTCAGATACACAAAACACAAGGAATAAAACTTCTGATCCAGGATCGTCCTTCCAAATGGCTGTATTTATAAAGAGTTTTGGAGCTGCACTGAAACAACTGTTTTAGTATGTCAACTTCTATTTTTGAATTGAGCTCCCAAGGTAGCTTGTTAAAGACCTTTTAGAAAGCTCCATCTGTTTTTATTTTTTTCTCTCCCATTTAAAGACAAATTCTGGAACATTTATAGAGTCTGGAATTTTTCCTTTTACCCGTTTTTTGTTTTAAGTCTGAGCTCTCAGGAGTGGTCCTGGCCAAAAATTGAAAATTTTGGCCAGACTGTCTCCCCCTCCCCCACAAATAATGTGCATCTAAGAGACATTTTTTAAAACTTGTATACAGTGTTTATCATGGTTAAAAAGCAATTTCCAGATATAATTGCAATAAATCAAGAGCCTGGTTACTTGGATTTTTTTTTTTTTTTACTGAAGATTACTGCCCTGATTATATAGAACTTTCTTAAAATAATTATGAATGTCATTTTTTTAATACTGGAAGAAAAAATATTCTGTTGTGTTTCATGTAGTGTTTAGGATGTCTTTCATGGAGCTGATTAAAAAAATGATACCTAAAAAATTGATATTGCTGCTGCTTTTTCCTTACTCTACCTAGCTTGTAATTTAAAAATAAAGATTGGGAAAGGAGACTTTGAGTAAAGAATTTAGGGGGGTGGTGAGCAGGGACTGCTCAAAGGGCAAATAGCTCTAGAGCAGGGGTCCTCAAACTTTTTAAACTGGCCAGTTCACTGTCCCTCAGACCGTTGGAGAGCCGGACTATAGTTTAAAAAAAACTGAACCAATTCCTATGCACACTGCACATACCTTATTTTGAAGTAAAAAAAAACAAAACAAAACGGGAACAAATACAATATTTGTATTTGCATGTGGCCCGCAGGCTGTAGTTTGAGGACCCCTGCTCTAGAGATTGGGGCTGGTATACATATATGAAAAAGAATACTAAACTCACTTTAGAGTGAGGGTCCCAGGAGAATCCTGGTTTAAGAACAAAATTCTATGCTCAAACTGGATTCTCCTGCTTCCCAGCTATTTGACTTTGTGGGTCATTTAACCTGTGTGCCTCAGCCCCCTGGGCATTTTACCTTTTCTGTTGAGGGTAAAGTACATTTAATAGGCATATACAGCCATTGACAACCGTTGGCCAACCCTTGTCACAGATTCAGTGCTAAGGTGGTTGCAATGGCTTGGTCCAGGTTTGTACCTTTGACTAGGCTTGAGTTCCTGGACAACCTGAACCACCTTATGCTCTCATTCCTGGGACATGCCTTTCATGGACTGATCCTGCCTCCCCAATATAGTATTAGAAAGTGAGGCCTTTGGAGAGTGACGTGGATTAAAATGTCATGAGAGTGAGAACTTCATGATATAATAGTTTGCCTCCTTGCTCAGCTCTGCCATGTGAGGATACAAGAAGGCATTCTTTTTTTAAAAAATATATTCTTACAGATTTCAGAGAGAGAGAAACATCAATGATGATTTCAGAGAGGGAAACATCGATGAGAGGGAATCATGGATCGGCTACCTCCAACATGCCCCCAACTGAGGATCAAACCTGCCACCCAGGCATGTGCCCTTGACCAGAATCTTCAGTTTGCAGTCTAACACTCTATCCACTGAGCCAAACCAGCTACGGTCCACAAGAAGGCATTCTGAAAGGGCCCCACCATAGCTGAACCATGCTGGTACCCTGATCTTGAATTTTCACTCTCCAGAATTGAGAAATTTCTGTTAATAAGCTACCCAGTGTATGGTACTGTTAAAGCAGCACAAACTGACAGCATGGGTCCCTGTATTGGGAGTGCCAGTAAGGGCAGCCTGCTTCCAGGGTCTGGACCCTCCTCCCATCCAGATGGTCCTACCTAGCCCACTGAGCAAGGTAAAGACATTGTCCTACCCTCACCATTTGGGTACTTGGTCTGAGAAGGCATTCTGTGCTGGACCTGCAAGGAGCTAAGGTAGTGGACCATTATTACAGCCTTGTTGGAGTGAGGAGGGGTTTCCCTGCACCTCAGGGAGTAAAGTGTCCTCACCCCCAGTGCAGCCTGAGAATCCCATCAACTAAGTTCTGCAACGAAACGATCCCCTAAATTACATTAATAAATAGCCTCCTAGACCTGAATGACAACTTGATCAACTTGCTCTTTTGGTTTCGGAAAGTGCCTTGTAATCCAGCCCAGGGAGGGCGCTAAGGAAGGGCCTAGAGACCTCACAGCTGGTTTTCTCTGGCATTAAAATTGCTAATCAATAAAGTTTCCAGACAAAAGTGCCAATTATTCCTCCACTTCAGTTTTAGTAGCATCTCACTAATGTGCATGTTTCCCAAGAACCCACAGAAATGAGAAATTCAAACATTTAAAGGTCCCTTGAGAGCCTTGTATCCCAAGGCCTGTGAAGTGCTATCTTACAAACATCCCACGACCACCCCCACCTCTGCAAGGTCCCAAATAAATCCTAAGCCCTGTCCCTCCCACCCCATGTGAACTGAATCAGACCTTGCTTCCTAGCTTAATTTCTTTGCTTCAGGTTCAGTGTGTGTAAAATGGAGATAACGGTGGGGCCTTGACTTAGTCGAGTATCCTGACTGACGAGTTTTTTGAGATACTAGCAGTCTCGGCTGATTTTTTTGCTTTGAGTTGCGAGCTAAAATTCGGGTTACGAGCCAGCTTCAGATACCCCACCACTAGTTGGCGCAGTGAACGCCACATCATCAGCCCACTTGTTCACTTTATGATTTGACATACGAGTAATGTGAGTTATGAGCTCTGTCACAGAACAAATTAAACTCATAAGTCAAGGCCCCACTGTAGCTCCCCATCTGATGGAGTTAAGGGTCCCTGATACTGCCCCCATTCTAGATGTAGAGGTGTAGAAAACTTCCAAATAGACTTTTTTTTTTTAAGTATCTTTTTTTAAATACATTTTATGGATTTTTCACAGAGATGAAAGGAGAGGGATAGAGAGAAACATCAATGAGAGAGAAACATCGATCAGCTGCCTCCTGCACATCTCCTACTGGGGATGTGCCCGCAACCCAGGTACATGCCCTTGACCGGAATCGAACCTGGGACCCTTCAGTCCGCAGGCCGACGCTCTATCCACCGAGCCAAACCGGTTTCGGCAAGCCTTTAATTTTTTTAAAATATATTTTTATTGATTTCAGAGAGGAAGGGAGAAACATCAATGATGAGGGGGAATCATTGATCAGCTGCCTCCTACAGGCCCTCCCTACTGGGGATCAAGCCTGCAGTCTGGCATGCATGTGCCCTTGACCAGAATCAAACCCAGGACTCTTAAGTCCTCAGGCCAATGCTCTGTCCACTGAGCCAAACCAGCTAGGACCTGAAGAACCTTTTAAAATATGCTGTGAATACTTCAGGCATGTTAAAAAAAAACATTGGATAAGGATCACTACCAGTGTTCCTACCACTCCTGCTTATCAAGACAAAACTTGCCACGTCCCTGCCCAGCTGCATACCTCTTCCATTTCCCTTCCCTGGCTAACAAGGACCATGATCCCTTGTAATTCAGACTGCCCCAATATCTGGAAAGCCAGAAGGGATTTTTTTTTCAACATACAATGAAAGCCCAAAGACCATTAGGGCTTCTAAATTTTTTTTTGAATCCATGGCATTGTTCTACATAAACATTTTTAATAGGCTATCAAGTCAAAATTTTAAACTTTTAACACGCATCTCTGAAAGTTTAGTTTCACAAGCACAGAATTTACAGTCTATTTTAAACTTTATGACTGCAATCCATAGTATGAAGTACGTTTTTCCTCACTGGAGTCCTGTCCATTAATTTGTGTAAGTGGAAGAAAGCTTTAATGATGAAATATGTAAAGTTCCCTGATGTCTCCTAGTTTATTGTACTTTAACAAAGTCAGCTGGCCCCAAATCACTCAAATGCTTATGGAGGCTGCAGTTTGAAAAATACTATGTTTAGCTCTGGCCAATGTGGCTTGTTTGGTTGGAGCGTCATGGGTTTGGTTCCTAGTCGGCACGAATGCGGGAGGCAACTAACCGATGGGTTTCTCACATTGATGTTTCCCTTCCTCTCTTAAATCAATTTTTTAAGACATTCTCGCCCTAGCCGGTTTGGCTCCGTGGATAAAGTGCCGACCTGCGGACCAAAGGGTCCCAAGTTCGATTCTGGTCAAGGGGACATACCTTGGTTGCAGGCTCCTCCCTGGCCTGGGCCCTGGTTTCAGGAGGCAACCAGTCGATGTGTTTCTCTCACATCAATGTTTCTGTCTTTCCCTCTCCCACTCTCCCCAATAATCAATGGAAAAATCCTTGTATGCATATATGCATAACCCATGGACGCAGACAATAAGATGGTGAAGGCGGGGGGCAGGCTGGAGGAGGTCATTGGGGGCGTGCAAAGGGGGCATATGTAGTAATTTCAACAAAGATTTTTTTAAATATATATCTTATTGATTTTTTTACAGAGAGGAAGGGAGAGGGACAGAGAGTCAGAAACATTGATGAGAGAGAAACATTGATCAGCCGCCTCCTGCACACCTACTGGGGATGTGCCCGCAACCAAGGTACATGCCCTTGACTGGAATCAAACCTGGGACCTTTCAGTCCGCAGGCCGACGCTCTATCCACTGAGCCAAACCAGTTAGGACAACAATAGAGATTTTAAAGAAACAAATTGGAAAGGGGAAAAAATAAAAACCTGTCTCTGTAAGATGGTAACACGGATTAAATGAGTCAAGACATGGGAAACATCTAGAATAGTGTCTGGTAGTTAAATGTAGTCAGTAAGAGTTATGTGTGCCATGTAATAGGCACACAGCAAAGAATATATAAATTGCTTTCCCTCAGGAATCAGGCTTGTATTGATGGGGTCCATGGACAATAAAGTAGTAAACCAGTACGTAATGGAACATTAGGATATGGCAAGCATTAAGGAAAATGAAACGGAATGGAGAGTGAGGGGATGTGCTATTTACACAAAGTGGTCAGGGAAGACAGCTCAGGGGAAGACACTTTACAATAGATATGCAGATAGAGGGAGAGCAAGCGAGGAGGAGGAGATGGGGGTAGGGCAATGGTTCCACCATGGCGTTTTGGCTGTCTTGCACATCTCCGCATAAACCAGGTGGGCAAGCTTATCTAAGAATTGGCAGAACACTCTGATCTTCGGAACATAAAGCCTGACACGTTTGTGAGGAAATGCTTGGAGGCCAGCTCTCATTAACCTCCCTGTCTACCAAAGAGACTGTCCTGAAACAGTTTCTCATCCCCTGAGGTTCTGATGAGGTAGGAGGTGTTCTGTCCTTCTCCCCAGCTCAGTGCTGTGGAACTGCTCAGCGTGGAATCAGTTTCTCTGCAGCAGGGTGTCCTACCACTTCTGCTGCAGTCATCAGGCCCCCTTTGTTTCAGTGTCACCCACACAAGTAACATGAGCTGGCATCTGTGGCTATTCTTATTTGTTTTTTAATGAACCTGTTTTGTTTTCATTTTTTATTAATCCTTGCCCGAGGATTTTTTTTCATTGATTTTTAGAGAGAGTGGAAGGGAGAGGGACAGAAACATCGATGTGAGAGATAC